GTACGAGATTACTAACCGATATGTGTCCCCCACGGCGGCAGATTTCGATCACGCAAGTCCGCCGACCGCCTTGAAAAAAACTACGAGGCGAAGAATAACGACGAGGAGAGGAAAAAAAGAAGCAGTTTGTCAATGTGTCGCCCGGCGGTCTATGCTTGATTTATCTGTTGCACGCGTGTACGTGAACTTGCGCCACTCTCGTCTGGAAAGAAAAAAAAAAAAGAGCCATGTTTGCGCGCACTGCAACGTCCGTGCACGCAAGTGGGTGCACTCGCTGCACCAGTGACTTACTTTAACCCCCTTTAGCGATAGAATTTAACCCGCGGCTTTTGCGCGCAACGCACTCGAATAAATTGTGCACTTTGAAATTGTTCCGCGTGCATAGAATAAAAAAAAAAAAAAAAAAAAAAAATCACGTATCTCACATCACGGAGTTCCATAAATTTCCACTTGTTTAGTCAGACATGTTGATTGAAATTCTGGAAAATGGCAATTTCGCTTTAATAAACAAATCGTGTGTGTTTGTGTTCAAAAATTATAAAGTTTGTCGAATATTCAAGGAAAGTATGTGCGCTCCCCTGTTTTTTTAAACGGAAGTTATTTCAGTATAATATATTTAGCTAGAAAGAGAGAAAGAGAGAAAGAGATAGAGCATTTTGTTTTCAAGATGTGAACTAAAAATGGCAAATTGCATATCCATTCAACGAGCAGATATGACGTAGTCGATAATAATTGTTTGTCCGTCTACGGATGAGTTTTGCAATAACATAAACATAAATTGTCAACTTAATGATATTCCAGTTGTTTTTTTCGCATAATTTTCACAATTTTTAATTTACTTTATCGCGCAAATATTTGTGGCTCGGAAAAGTATCGCGCTGTGTTTGCGTTTCATTACCTAACGTCAAATAAAAATAATTACACATTGAATTGCGAGATCCGTGCGTATGAATATTTACAATTTTCTGTACATTGTTCAACCTGTCGCATTACTCTGTACGCCCATGCGAATTGATATTATGCACGCAGACTGTGAAATTATAAAAAATATTTTTCCTCTCTCTCTCTCTCCCTCTCTCTCTCTCTCTCTCTCTCTCTCTCCTTCTCTCTCTTTTTCTCTTGTTCTCTCTGTAGCGTAAATAGAAGAAATAAAATTACATGTTCGTATTGAGATTTTCTCAGTTTATATGATCGAAGAAAATGTGCAAACATTCACTGAAACACGCATCCAATTTTATGTGCTATTTGCGCGTGCGTCTCTCATTCATTGCGCGAATCTTCAATATCAAAAGCAAAATTAGCTTCAGTTTTTTTTTCCGGAAAAAAGTTTAATATCCTTTCATACATATATACACGACTGTTATCGTTACACATAATGCATCGCTGACGTCACGGTCATCAGTCACCGCGGGAAACTTTGCTTTTTATTACGTCGCTACAGTTTATTATCCCATTAAGAGAAGATATCATGCGAGCGCCGAGTTACACGCCTTCGCGAAAATTTTGTCAGCACTTTTCTTGCGGTTCTTGCCAGAACGTCGCTAACCCAAGAGGGGATGTGTGGCGAGATGTCGCGACGCGATAACGTGTTTGATGATAATTGAACAAAGATATTCTCGCGAAAGAATTTATTAAATATATATATAATTCGTCGTGCGATAATGAAAACCTATATCGGACAGAGTAACCGTCGCGTTGAGAATATTTTACTCATCTTTCCCGATAGTACGGAAAATATCAGAAAGAGAGAAAGAGAGCAAAAGAGAGAGAGCGATGGTTACCGGAGAAATTCTAAAGAGAAACTCATTAAAAGTTTTTTTTCCGCTCTCTTTCGCGTTGATCGATAGGTAAACGAAATAAGCTGCTCATTAGTTTCCTTTTTAGCAAACCGACGACATTTCGATTTAATTTAATTAACGCATAAACAAATCGGAATCTTTTTTTTTCACGCATATCTGATCTTTCTGTTGGAACGGTTTGCTATAAACAGCCGTGTGGAATCGTCAGTGTGGCAAAGTCTTAATAAAAACTTAAAAATTTTTTGCAAAATAAACACCACAAATCTCTCTCCTTCTCTCTCTATGCGTGTGTATGTAATATTTATTATAATGTAACAAAAGATTCACTTGTTGAGTAATTTCAGTAGCAATTTTTCTCAGCGCGTTAATGCTTTTTACATTATGAAGCAGCAACCTCATGGAGACACAAAAGATACTCTTTTAAATAATTACTCTTTAAATAAGAACGAAATTAAATAAAAAGAAAAACGAGTGTAATTACATTATATTAATAAACCTTTCAGCAAAATGTTGAATAATTCTGTTAGCAACTTTTTTTTTTTATACCTTTAATACCTTTTGCATTATGAGAGAGCAACTCATGCATAAAAGGGATACTCTTTTACATACACAAAGCGAGATTTATTTGGAGAATCAGTTTTCATGCGCGTTTCGCGAATACCGGGGATGTACATTTCATATCATAGCTTATTCACGCACAAGAGAGGGACAACCTGAGTGGGGTTTTTGCCGCGTCGAGAATTACAATTTTCTTCCTCACAGAGAAGAGAGAGAGAGAGAGAGAGAGAGAGAGAGAGAGAGAGAGATCGGAAACATGAAACCTTGTACCACCTATTACCGCAGTTGGCGAATATAATAGCGATGACAACGTGTCTGGGCTTTTCCTCCTGGGTAAAACTCGACTGACCGAATCGCGCTCACACACGAACGAATATCACTCCGTGATTTCGCGCCGGGTTTCCGTTGGGAAGAAGACGACGAAATAGACGAAAATGTATTTCTCGAATATTCGACACAATTTAAGAAACGAACATTTTCAAGGATCGTACACGCGCGCGTATATAGTAGCGAAGAATGACGACTTTATTACGTACACTTCACCGTTTTAGATGAGCGCCAAATCGCTGATGAATGCGAATCTTATCTCAATCCTCTTTGCATGGCAAGCGGTCAGGGTCGATGTCCAGTAACGTGGATAAAACGACTTCGCTTTGCTCATTCGCTCTCCCTCTCTCTCTCTCTCTCTCTTTCTCTCTTTCTCTCTCTCTCACCCCCGCGGCTTGCTATCAGCGCACTTCCAGAAAGCGGTGGAATCAACTTAGATATTCCTTTTCTCGTTCTCTTACGTGTCCTCCCCCTTCTCCCTTCGCTTTCCGGCGCGTTTCCTTCCGCAGCAGCGCCATAGCGCGCGGAAGAAAATCCCTCGAGACATTTTATAGTCGATACACGGGCGCGCTTCCTCTTCGTTTATCCTACTTATTTCTTCCTTCTAAATCTTTGTACGCTACATTTGCAATTTTCCGCTAAGTTTCATGGCACGAGTATAGGAGCGCGTCTCCATATTCCCGTCGTTATCTCCCGTCGACAACGCCGAGGTACGCGCAGAGATTACACCGGATTTTCGTAGCTCGCGTGGAAGCTTAAATTCGTAATAATATAATTACAAATTTATCTCCGTACGAACGTTAACCTTTCTCGCACGCTTAAGAGGTGGTAAGGCGATTCCCGCGCGCGCGAGATAGATCCCAGCGCGCATAAATACACGCGCGTGTGCGCGCATGTGTACACGTAACACACAATATGATATAATCCCGCGTGATGAAGCTTTAATTCCTCTTCCGCAAAACGCGCGCGACGCGAACATTGTCAAATATACGGGAGCTTAATTCCGGAGCGGAGTGGTCAGACCGGGATCTCGGGGGCGCGGTAATCCAAAATGGGAAGCAATTTTCGGCTCTTCATCGCAAAGATCTCGGTCTTACGTATTTAAAAAAAAAAAAAAAAAAAAAAAACCGGAGAAGAGAGGCTGCTTCTTCTCCGACGAGTGCGCGCCGCGCGCTTTTTCCGCGCGTGTTGAACATTCCTCTTCTCATTTCTCGTCTTTTGCGCCTCGCGGCAAGACTTTGAGTCGTCGCAATTTGATTAAAAACCGCGTCTCCTACCGGCCTACACGCGCGCAACGCATCGATATGATGCGAGATCGGCGCCGATCGATCTGTGAGAAAGGAAAGAGGAGAGACAATCTTACGAATTCGAAGTACATGGTCAGTGTTCACAAAAACTCTCTGTAATTTCGATAAGATGCAACTCGATTTCTTGCTTGCGATGTCACGACGCGAGAGTCGTTTTTCTCCGCATCGAGGCATCTCTTTGCCAAAAATCCGTGAGTTCGGATTGGTTTTGGAAAGACCGGTAATAACACAAACGAGATGCGAACTCGATTTCTTTTCTTTTTTTTTTTTTCTTATCGAAGCAGAAGCTGCGAAACAGTTTTTTGTTTTGGTTGCGAAAGTGAATGAAAGTCAATGTGTTTGCAAAAAAAAAAAACACAAATTAAAATCGGTTGATGCATCGCTTCGGTATTTTAAGTAAACGTTCGATCAAAAAATCGATTGCAATTCGGAAGTTTGATCACTCCGAACTTCGTTTTAGTAGGTTAGATCTTCGTCGGGTTCTCTCAGATTTTCTAACCGTGTAATTTCATTCTACCTCATCCGGTTGTCATACTGTAGAACTGCTCGTGTCGTAAAAAGAGGCGAGGAACTGGTCAGGGTCGCGCAATTCCGCTAACCCAGATAGGCGGGCCTGTTTCTTCGTGAGACTGTCTTTACTACTGGCGAAGGGGATGTCGAACGAGAATTCTGTGTGTGTTTCGCTGTCCTTTTCACTCGCGTGCTCCTCTGCTCTTTCTTTCTCTCTCCGTTCGTCTCTATCTTCCATCCCTCTGTCTCTGTTTTTCTCTTTCTCTCTCTCTCTCTCTCTCTCTCCGTCTCCTCGTTGCTTCAGCGCCAACCCCTTTCGAGCCACCCTCGAAGGCCACCCACCACCACCCCGACACTGCCTGTCCGCGCACTCGTCCGGGGGTGGCGGTAAGTTCTCGCGCTGCCAGTGCCCGCGCGTCTCTCGCGATCGTCGGACCGCGCGTACGTAAAACGGGGTGGTTCTCGCCGTTGCGTCGTCGGTCGTCGTCACACGCGTGGATGTTTTCGCGCGATTATCGCGAGCCGAAAAGACTCACGTGACCCGGAAGTGCGCCGGAAAATACGACGACGATTTCTTTTCGCTCGCGAGTGGATGTACGAGAGTTTTCGCCCGCGAGTCTGCGACCGCGTCCCCGGGGAATGCGGTTCGATCGAACCGGCCGCTTCTCGCGATCACGAAATTCCTTCGAGGAGCGATGGTGATCGATGACCGTAGAACTTGGTTAGAGTAATTCGTCGCACGGATGACACAGTGTTCTCTAGTGAAGATTTTAGACTGTCAAAAAGATTGGGCACACTCACTGTCGCGCGCGTGAGTTATCTAAGCTTCGCAACTCGTTGAAAAAAAAAAACAAAAAAAAACAAAAAAAACAAAATCGAGCGATCGATTGTACGGTGTTTGAACTAGTTGCAAGAAAAAAAAACAAACAGATTACATTCCGAATTCTCTTTCTTCGAGAGCGCGCGCGATATAACGCGAATGACGGGGGATTAAGACTGCGCGCAGTTTTTATAACCGCGACAGTGAAAAACGAATGAGCAAGCGGCGAGAACAATAAAATTCGATCTCTCTTCGATATGCAGGGCAGGTCAAAATGACTCTATGAGGGAATGGCGCGGGGGATGACGGAGCGCGTCGAGGATTAAAGGAGACGCGTCGGAATGTCGGGAACGTCGCGTCGGTTCTGAACCGGCTCGGGCACAGGTGGAAGCATCGGCAGCGTCTCGTTCTTTTCAACGTGAGGATCGTTGGCGACAATCATGTTGTGCAGGACGAGTCTCGTAAGGTGTGTCTCGGCAGCTTTTACGTCGGATAGATGAACGTGAGTGTTGTCTCAAGTCGGTTGTTATCGTGTCGAGGAAAAATTGGATGTTTTCCGAAGACGCGCACACGCGGAGCGTTTCGCAAGAAGAAACGTATCTGATTAAAAAACGTATCTGAGCAAATCGAACAATTTTTAATTTCTCAAAGAAAAACGACACGTGACGTGTTTTAACACAGATTTTTGCTTTAGGTTATACTTTATGAGAATATAATATGTGTGTGTGTGTGTGTGTGTGTATTTTAATATATACAGGGTGTTTCAGAAC